CGATTCCCAGCACCCACATGGCAGCTATGAACCGTCCTTAACTCCAGTTCCAGGGGAATCCGAAGCCCCCTTCTGATCTCTGTGGCACTGCTTGAGGCAATATACCCATACACATAAAATAAAAGTAATAAATAAAAAATATCAAAACAAAGTAAAAAATGTAGAATCTCAAGCACCACTGCAGACACACCTGAACAGAAACAGCATTTAAAGTAAAGTTTTAAAACCAGGCATGGTTGTTCATAAATGTAATCCCAGCACTTGGGAGTCTAAGGCAGGAGGATCTCCATGAGTTTGAGACCAGCCTGAGCTAGAGTGAGACTGTGTCTCCAAAAATCAAAACACAAAATAAAATATTTTTAAAGTTCTTTACTTTTTCAGAGCAGTTTTAAATTCCTAGCAGAACTGGGTAGACAAGTACAAAGGAGCACCACAGACCGATCTGTCCTATGTTCCAGCCTCCCCTGCTGTCACCATCCCACACCAGAGTGGCACATTTGTTACAGTCCATGAGCCTGTGCTGACGCATCATTACTACCCAAAGTCCATAGCTTAGAGTTCAGTTTGAGAGGTGTGCTTTCTATGGGTTGAAACTTTTATGATTACATATATCCATCCTTATAGTATTATGCAAAATAGTTTCACTTCTTTGAAAAAAACCCCAGTCTCTAGACTGCCTTTTAACAAAACCCCCGGCTGATTGATATGCATAATTAAAATATGCACAGCACTGTGATAGAAAGTGCCACCTCCTTCCCTAAAACCCTTCCAGACTTTCCCATTGCAGTTCCAATAACATTCAGATTCCCCATGGTGATCAGAATGTCTGGCTTCCTCTAACCCCTGACCTATCCACCACTGTCCATCTGTAGGTCCTTGCTTACTCTGGCTCTCCTTCAACTAGTGAAGATGGTACCTCCAGATAGTACCCTATCTTCAAAGCCTTTATTTCTGTTGTGGCCATACATTCATTTCTCTGATTATTGGATTGCTTGCCTTCTTCCTCCCAATGACCATAAATTCCATGAAGTAAAGAACTCGTAATTTTCCCCCAGAACCAAGAAAATCATTCTGTATATAGAAGCTGCCTGGTTTTTATTGAATTAAATAATTAAAAAGTATGAGCCCAGGGACTGGAGAAATGGCTCAGCAGATAAGCTCACTGGCTTTTCTTACAGAGACCCTGGGTTCTGGCTGCAGCTAACTACCATTCTTAACTCTAGTTCCAGGGAATCCAACTCCCTCTTCTGGTCTCTGTGGGCATTGCGTGGCATGGGTACACTGACATATATGAGGCAAAACATTCATACACATAAAATAAATAATATAAAAATGTTTTAAAAAGAATGAGCCGGACAGCTGATTGTAGCCCTCTGATTGGTAGAGTGTTTGTCAAACATTCATGAAGCCCTGTGTTCATTCCCCAGTACTGCATAAATTGGGTATGGTGGTACATGCCTGAAATCCCAGTACTTGAGAGGTGGAGGCAGGCAGATCAACAATTTAAGGTCATCCTTGTTTACCTAGTAAGTTAGAGGATAGCTACAAGAGACGCCATGCCTATGTTCTTCACTTTGGCACCCTGCCCAGGATGTTACCCTGACCAGAATCCTTTCTATTGCCATCTGCCTCCATCAGGTCTTCTCCTCCAGCTCCTCTGGCCACCATGCTCCTTTCTTTTTCAGATTCTAGACTTGGACGGTCAAGACCTCCTGCTCTTCACTCACTTCATGTGGATTCATTTTGCTTTTCCCCAACTTATATATGCAAACTTCTTTGAGGGCAGGAATCAGAGGCTTAGCTTACCCCTGGGGTAAGGTGTGCATTCAGAACTAAGAAGTTCAAGGACTGGTTGTTGACTCAAACAGTAAGCCTTGGACATGGCTATAGAAGAAGGTGCTTTCCTAATAGCTAAAAATTTATCACCGTTGGTTTATTTCTGACTCTGATTTTTCTGGTATAGTTGTAAAGCCTAGCTTTAAGTTTTTCTTTTTCATTTTCTTTCTTTTTTTAAATGTTTTCCATCCCCTGCTTTCCAGACCCATTTCTAGGTTTATGCAGTTTCCCTAGAAGACTTGAGTTTGGAAGTGCTTTCCCAGTTTTCCAGAAAGATGTTGTAACTGTGTAATTGTTGGTAATGTCAGCTACATACAAATTCTGATGTATAACTGGGACACTTAAGCCATGGTTCTCTTGGTTCTGCAACAGTAAAATAGCAAGCTTTACAACTTGGTGCTGAAAACTTAGAGTTACCGTCACTGCAGCAGGAAGCCTGTGTGCCTCAACCCTTCTTCCCTTCCCTCTCCCCTTCTCTCACACTTAGATACTCTGGGCAGTATTTTAGGTGAGCACCTTTACATTAGGACCTTTGAAAGTCCAGTTTCTGCAGGCTGTACTGCATTCAAGCTTCTTTGCATTTGAGAAGCCAGTTTGTACTTGGCTCCATAGAAAGCAGATATTTTGTTTACTGGCCTTAAAAAAAGTCACAGGAACTAGCTACCACCTTCACCTCAGTATTTGGGAGGTGGAGGCTGGAGGATCAGGAGTTCAAAGTTACTTTTTGAAACCAACCTGGGCTATATGAGAGTCTCTCTCTCTCTCTCTCTCTCTCTCTCTCTCTCTCTCTCTCTCTCAAAATGAAACAAACGAAAAAAATCAGAGCCTTGCCATGGCTCCGTGGGTCCCAAGCTGCATCTTTTGTTTCATTCTACATTTTTCACGTTTACTCTGATTTTATTTTTTATTATTTATCTTTTTAGTGTGTGTGTGTGTGTGTGTGTGTGTGTGTGTGTGTGTGAACATGAGTGCAAGTACCCAGGGAGGCCAGAACATCTAATCCCTCTGGACCTGGAGTTATAGGTGAGTCACCCCAAGTGGGTGCTGGCAACTGAATCCAGGTCCTCTGCAAAAGCAGTCTGGGCTCCAATCTGCTGAGCCATCTCTCTAGCCCCCCTATCATTTTATTTATTTATTTATTTATTTATTTATTTATTTATTTATTTATATTTTTATTTATAGCCAGGGTTTTATTATGCAGCCCTAGCTGGCCTGGAACTCATTCTATAGACCAGGCTGGCCTCAAACTCACAGAAATCGGCCTGCCTCTGCCTCCCAAGAGTTGGGATTAAAGGTCTGCCCCATTGTGCCCTACTCACTTACCTGGAAACAGAGTGTTGCTCTGTAGCCTAGGATGACATCAAAATCACCAGCCTCCACCCCAAGTACTAGGATTACAGATGTACACCACCATGTCCTGCACAAAGCCCCAACCTTCTTGATAGTGCCACAAGTTCAGCTACATTAAGATCATCTGCATTAAATCACCCCATAGAGTAGAAATCAGTGGCTTTCATGCTATGCCTTACCCATGCAACTGCATTTTAATAAAACAGAAGTTTGGCTCATTTTGAGTGCAAGTAGAGAAGTAGGAATGACTCTGCATTTTGTTCATGGAGGTGAACAACCACCATCTGCCCAATGTAAACCATGAGACACAGACCGATAACTTACTGATGCCAATAAAACATTACCACCTATGAACGTATCCAACTAAACCAGAAGCACATGGACACATGGCATACCAAAAACTGCATCAGAAGAACCAAGCCTGTGAGCTCATCAAACACACTAGACCAACAAATGATGTAACACCCTCACATGGGCCATATCAAACGATGGGTATCTAATAGTAGGGACATTGTCTCCCTACCCATCATAAGGTCATTTTGTGCATATGTCATGGAAGTCACAGAGACAAACTCCTGGGGTTCCTGGGGACTCAGCTCAGTCTGATACAGCCCATTGGAACTGCCATTCATGTAGACCTACTGTGCCCTGAGTCACCTCTGTGCTTTGGCAGTCCCGCCCCTGAATAGAACCCTGCCACTGAGTTCATTCTGTTACTGTCTAACCTCCTGCAGTGACTCCTTTTGCATCTGTATCAGCTCTCTGCTCTGCCCTCAGTAAGGCCCCTTTGGACCCTGCAGGTACTTTAACCCCTTCTCAGCTATTCTGTAACCTACATATCATGATGTGAAGAGTAATGCATGGACTGAGAGTTCATATTAATAACTGAGATTGGAATGGAATGAAAGAACCTACATTTGCCAGTCCAAAAAAAAAAAAAGATCATCTAGAAGTCAAAATACTTTCCAGAACACATATGAAATACAGTCAGATAAACTAACAATATAATTTTGTGCTAATCTTAATGGCAGATGCCAGTGTTGACAAAAGAAGTCAGAATACAAGGCTTAAGAGGAAATATTAAGAGAAAGATTTCATCTTAAGAGGATTTTATTTCTCAGCTAGGCATGGCAGCACATGCCTTTAATCCCAGAACTCGGGAGGCAGAGGCAGGAAGATCTCAGTGAGTTCAAGGCCAGCTTGGTCTATATAGCAAGTTCCAGGTCAGCTGGGGCTACAGGGAGACCATGTCTCAAAAACACCACAGAGAGGGAGAGAGAGAGAGAGAGACAGAGAGACAGAGAGAGAGATAGAGAGGAGAGAGAAAGAAAGAGAGAGAATTATATTTCTCAACTACCCTCTCTGCCCTCAAATAGAAAAGATGGTCATTGTTCAGTCTTAAGAGGCAAACTGCATCAGTTGAATTGTATCATAGACATATACTTGGAAATAAGACCCCTCAGGCCAATACCCTTGACATGTAACAAGATGTAAATGAACATCTAATATTTATGGAGGAGGCCATAGCTCTAAGCTGTGGCTTTGGCTTATGGTTTTGTTTAAAAAACACTATCCCCACCTCTACTATTAGAGTCTAGGTCCTTGGTTTAGCCTAGATACTAACTTGCTGTGTGACCTTTAACCTTTTTGAACCAGAACTTTCTTAGGCCTAAATTGTTCTGAGAACACCCTGAATGTCTCTTCTTGGTTCACAAAGTAAGGCAGAGGCAGGCAACCCAGAGAACAGCACCGCCTTCCTTACAACCTCAGAGATCTTAAGTGGAGACTCAGTCAAGTTCCTAAAAGTTCCTTACCTGAAGTAAAGTGTAAAAGACCCATCAGCAGCACAAAGAGATGCCGGTGCCTGAGACGACACTTGTGTGGTGGTGTTTCCTGTCTCAGTGGGTGATCCATAGCTTCAGATGCTTTGGATAGATGGTGAAAGTCAGAATTTTAGAGCCAAGGAGCCTGGGCACCTCCTAGGCTCACAAAAGGGGTGGAACAGGCAGTAGAGAAGCGACAGTGGTACACACCAAGCAGAGGCTAGACAACTCAACTGCTCCACAGAGATGGGATAGAGTTCTTGGGTATCCAAAAAACTGTGTTTCACAACCTGAAAAAGAAACTAGTACGAGTTACCCAGTCACTTGCCATGGCTTGAAAACTCTCTGGTTGCCTGCCGAAAATGAGTGAGAGTTCATAATCTAAGTGACCTCTAAGTCAGGGTGTGGCTGTGACAGGAACTCAAAGGTGGAGGGAACTCTAAAAGAGGTGACTTGCTCAGGTCCGTTCTAAGAACCAACCACAGCTTGGGTGAAATTGTTCTCTGATTGGCAGGTGTGGTTAACTTTATTAGACACAAGATGAGCTCATGGTGCTGCCCCATAGGCCCCACCCTCAGGAGACTGAGGTGGGAGGACCACTTGAGTCCAGGAGTTTGAGACCAGCCTGGAAAATATAGTGAGACCTCCCCCCCATCTCACAAGCAACAACAATAGAAAGCACAGAGAACTCTAAGGACCTTCAGTATGTTAGTCCATGAACATTCAACTCTTCTTTTGGACGTACCCAGGAAAACACAGTAACCAGCAAGGGTGTACCTGTACAAAGCAATGCTTAAGTTACAAAACAGCTTCTTTTTATATCAACCTAAGAAAACAAAAATCTCAGTTCTTAAATTTAGTATCCTATAAGGACAGAGGATCTCGATCAACAGAGAAGTCTACCACCAAAAAGGAAGGAAAGAAAAGATGCACTACAGATATTACTTACTTAGATTACATAGTATAGTGTGAAGAGGCTGGGTAATTTTTTTACCAGTAAATGTATCAGAATTGAGAAATGAAAATGAATGCTGTGCGCCGCTGTCATCCGGGCAGCCTGCTACCCGTGATACAGTCCAATGCTGACCCGAAGATGTGTGGGTGTCCTCTTGGGGAACTGTCCCAGAGCTAATGTTCGAGCTATACTAGATAATTTTATTAGCTACAGTCTATTTTAAACAGTTAGCTTGAAGGGACTTTCTCATCAGAATTTTATTAATTAGAAACACTCAAATTCAGCCTACAAAAGTATTTGCTACCATCTAAGAAATTTAAAAAAATGAGTTTTCATGGTGATTCTTTCTAACAGTGTTGGGAAGCCACAGCCTTGAATAAAAGACCACAGATGGCTCCTCTGAGGGCAAGTAGATGTCTAGGAGGTGGTCATGACAGTATGTTTGTTGAAAAAGCAATGAGATTGGGTCTGGGGATGTGCCTCAGTAGAATGCTGGCCAGGCATGTAGGAAGACCTGCATGTTTGATCCCTAGCACTGCATAAACTGAGCCTGGTGGTACTGGAGAAGTAGAGCCAGGAGGATCAGAAGTTCAAGATCATCCTGGTCTACAAAGCAAGTTTGAGGCCAGCCTGGAATATATGAATCCCCCTCCTCCCTTTCTCTCTCAAGCTCACTTTCACTCAAAAAAAGTCAGGTTGGTGGTAACTAATTCTATCAAGCTATCCTACAGTACAATAAACAGTAAATGTACTTACGTGCTGAAGAAAATGCCTTTTTTTCTTCTGTGTTAAAAATCAAAGGACGGGGCCCCGTTTCTGAGCTGCTCTCTTCTTGCTGTCTCCAGGCTAATGATAAGGCTCAGTTTTTCTATGACACAAACGTCAAAGAGGTGGCATTTCCCCTTTCCAACTTCCCTTTACTGAAGCCTTGAGGAAGCTCCCCTCTTCTTTGCTCTTCTCTGAGAGGGTGTGACAGGGCAAGTCACCCCAGCCACTCTCTCTCATCACCACAGATAATTGACAAACTTAGAGAACTGGGTACCTGGGGGAGGGGGAGGGAGAGGGACAACTACTAGCTTTACCAGGACAGTGGTATGTGAGCTTTCTGAGCTGGCTCTTTCTGCACTGGTCTCAAGTTGTTTTCACACAGTGAGACTTCTGTGGGAGCAGGCTATCCAGCTCATAAACAGTGGATACTTTTTGGAGTGTGCTCTCCTCCTCTAGACTACCTAATTGCATTTGCATCCTCCCCATCCTCACAGAGTGTGCTCCTGGCAGCCATGTTGGATGGTACACTCCACTTACCACAGCTGAGTGTACCTCAGTGAGCACAATGATAGCATCAAAGAATAAGGTGAGGAAGGTCACAGTCTCCCTCACGACTGCCATCTGTAGCCAGTTTGATACCCTGGGCTCCTATATAAAGAATTTGGAAGAACTCCTAGACAAAGAGCCATGCTGATCAGTGAACCTGCTTGCACAGAAAACTGGATTGTATCTTGCCTGGACCTACACTTTTCCAAGCTGGCTTCTGCCCCCTCCCCGAGCTGCTCTGTTGCCTTGGCATAGAATATCTTTAGAAGTTCTGCACTCAAGCATGTAGAACCTGAAGTGGGGAAGTCGGTGCCTGTGGGACTATCCTTAACCAAAGGGAGCTGTTGGTGGATGGATAACTGGTTCCTCCTTTGTCCCTCAGGTAGAAGTTTTGAAAAGCATTTCTTGAGGGTCCCGGAAGGTCCTGGGGGCTAGAGTAACCATTGCCTTTTTTTAGCTGCCAATTGAGTAATGATGTTCAGTTTAGTTTGTTTTTTCTTGTTTTGAGGAGTTTTTGTTTTGTTTTGTTTCATTTTATTTTTATTTTGGTTTTTGAGACAGGGCCTTGGCCTGGAACTTGTTATATAGGCAAGGCTGGCCTTGAATTCACACAGATCTGTCTGTCTCTGCCAACAAGTGCTAGGATTAAAGGTGAGTGCGTGGCTGAGTAAGGTTTCTTGTACTGAATTTCCCTTCTCTGTTCACTCTCTCCTGCTCCACTGGATTCAAGTTTATGAAGTTTTTCACTCAGGTCTTTGTCACTTGCTTTGCTTTCCAGAAAACATAAGACAGCAGAAGTACTTGCTATGTGAAAGACCCAATCAGCTGGGCGTGGTGGCACATGCCTTTAATCTAGCACTCAGGAGGCAGAGACAGACAGATCTCTGTGAGTTCAAGGCCAGCCTGGTCTTCCTAGCAAGTCCCAGGCCAGCTGGGGCTACAGGAGGCCCTGTCTCAAAAAAAAAAGGGGGGGGGTTTCCCCTGAAGTAGAGCAGTAAGGCGAGTTTAAAGAAGGGGGGGGACAAGAAAATGATAGTAGCTATGGGGCACTAGTGCAGCAAACACAGCTCTAGAAATGTCTCAAATACCAACTTAACCTTACTAGAAAACAACTTTTTCTGGGCAAAAAAAAAAAAAAATCACTAAGTTGCTGTACTTCCTGTATTTCTCTGTGTTATTGAAGGCACTGAGAACCCTTGAAGTAAAAAGCTGATGGAGAAGGCTAGAGACCTGAGGTCTATGGGTTCCCTAGGACAGGAAGCAATGAAAATCATACAGAAGGAAGAAAAGGACAGAACAACCACTTTGCCATGATGAGCTTCAGGCCTGGGAGGTGGCAAGCACAGGCTTGCTTTTTGCAGTTCACATGATATGATCAGATAGGTCCCCTGCCCAAGCATCATTTCCACTGGTACCCTGTAATGCATGTACTTCTAGGCCAGAAGATATATTCATGAGGGCTAAGGCAAAGTCTTCAAACAGAGGAACCTGTGTCCCTGTGGGAACCCTTTTCAAAGAGCATAGCACTGACGATTTTAAGAAAATTAACGTTCATATTTTCACTTCCTTTATGTATTATTTCCTGAAACTTACCTACAGGGAGAGAATTTAGTTTTACCCCTATTTGTAAAGAAAAACTTACCTTTCACCCAACCTGAATCTTATTGGGGTAGAATGTTCTGGAATATAAAAACAGAGCACCCTTGAGCCACAACCCTGCTCCTGTTGCTTGATACTTTAAGAAAAGACAGGGACTAGATAAATGGCTCAGCAATTAAGAGCACATACTTCTCTTGCAGAGGACTTGAATTCAACTTCAAGCACTGACATGGGGTGGCCCATATCTACTTCTAACTTCAGCTCCAGGGGATCAGATAGAACTGGTCTCCACTGGTACCTGCACTCATATGCACATACACACATACACATAATTAAAAATAAGATAGATCTTTTTTAAAAACCTTTTTTAAGATCTTTTTAAAAAACCTCTTTTTAAAAGAAGATGGGGCACGGTTCAATAATAGTATGCCATCCTCAGTACAGAAAGAAAAACAAAAAGGAGAAAGGGGGGGGAAGGGTGGGAGGAGGGGAGGGAGAGAGATAGATAGAGACAGACAGAGAGACAGAGAGAGAGACAGAGAGAGACAGAGAGAGAGACAGAGAGACAGAGAGAGACAGAGAGACAGAGAGAGACA